CCCACCGCTCCAGCTCAGGTCCCTGCCTCCTGCCCATCACAGCCTGGGATGGAGATGGCTAGGGCCCACCTGCCCTCTGAAGCACACTAAGCAGGAGACAGCAGGAAACTGACCCCCACAGGTTTGGGGATCAGGATGGCATGTGGGGGGAGGGAGACCCCCTCTGCCTGGAGGGGTCGGAGCTTCCAGGTGGGATGCACTGGGTCTTGCAGGAACAGCAGGAGTTTCTAGAAGGAAAGTTGCTGAGGGCGCCCCAGGCGGAGTGACGGGCATGTGTTAAGGCCGGGGCGGCTGGGGCAGCGGGCGATTCCGTGGGTGTGGGTTTGCTTCCATAGCTCTGGCAGGCCTAGCCCCCACTCCACCCCACCCCATCTGCTGGCCTAGGGCACGATGTTAGCACTTATTGTGGGCTGAGTGTGCCCCCCAATTCTTACGTTCAAGTCATAACCCCCGGCACCTCAGAATGTGACTGTAGCTGGAGATGGAGTTTTTAAAGAGGTAAATAAGGTCAAATGGGGTCACTGGGGTGGGCCCTAGTCCTCTGTGACTGTGTCCTCATACGAAGAGGTCAGGACACAGACAACGCACAGAGGGACAACCACGTGGGGACGCAGGGAGGAGACGCCGTCCACACGCCCAGGAGAGAGGCCTCGGAGGGAACCGGCCCTGCCCACTCCCGGAGCTCAGGCTCCAGCCTTCAGGACCGGGGATGGCGAGTGTCTCTGGTTTAAGGCCACCAGGCTGTGGCGTTCATTGCGGCAGCTGGAGCATCATCCCGCCCTTTCCCCCCGAGTCACCTTTCAAGATGGTCCGGAGGCACCTGGATGAGGGGATCGCCTCCCGCAGGCACTGGTCTGAGCGCTCACCCCTCGAATCCTCACACCCGGGCCATGCAGTAGGAGCTACTGTCACACCTGTCATGGATGAGGAGGCCCGCAGAGGTCTGGCCATGTGCCAGAGGTCATAGACACAGGCCACTGTCCTGGTCACACCTGCCACTCCCTGTGCGGCCTCATGCCAGGCACCAAGGGGAAGTGCAGAGGCCGGAGGCTGCCCTCAGACTTGTGGGAAGGAAGGAGGGCAGCTCGAGGTGTGTGTCCCTGTCCCCTGTCCCCCGTCCCCTCGTCCCTTCGATCCTGAGAGGATTCCTCATCTCCTCCTGTAAGATCAGCCTGGAGCTTTATACTAGCCAAACGGCCAGGAAAAATCCCAAAGATCCATCAACGGATGATGGATAAACGAAGTGTGGTCCAGCCAGACGACAGCATGCTCTTCAGCCATAAAAAGAAACGATGCACTGACCCTCGCTACGACACAGACGGACGTCAGGACACGATGCTGAGTGAAGAAAGACAGACATCGTCCACTTCCTTTGAATGAAATGTCCGGACCAGACAAATGCCTAGAGACAGAAAGCAAATTCGTGTTGCTTAGGGCTGGGGGGCGACGGACGGGTAGGGAGTGATGGCTAAAGGGTATGGGCCTTCTTTTGGGGGCGATGAAAAGTTTGTAAAATTGTAAAAGGTGACAGTTGCACAATCCTGTGAAGGTATTAAAAGCCACTGAATTCTACACTCTAAATGAGGGAATTGTAGGGCATGTGAATTATATTTTAATAAAGCGCTTTAAATTTTAAAAAAATACAAATAAATAAAAAATTTTAAAAACCTCGTCTCGGGTGGTCGTACCCCTAGTCTCCCAGACTGCAAGACACCCTCTGGGGCTCTCACGTGCCCCGCAGTGAGCCGATGTGCGCTCGAGGCGGCCCGTGACAGCATTCGGAGCTGGGCCCATCCCAGGGCCATGCTGGCACGTAGGCGGGGGGTGTCCTACCCTCCCCTATGCCCAGCAGCCCTCACCCCCTTGGGCACAGGTAGTGTTCAAGCCCCTCAGAGCCACAGTCCCACCACCTCTCTGGCCCAGGGGTTTCTGGGATATTTGGCATTAAGGAAGCCCCTAGCCCGGTGACAGCCAGGAGCACCCCGAGAGGGAGCCGTGTCCCCTTAATGGGGGGCTCTTGTCTGACACTGGGACCAGGCTCTGCCCCAAGAAGTGAGGTGGCCTTGTCTGGAGAGGCGGCCAGCTGGTCTACCCAGAGGCACCGTCTACCAGACGGAGAGCTGGCGGGGCTGCATGTTGAGATCTGTCTTTAAGGCCCACTCCTGTTGCTCCAAGCTTCTACCTTTGCCTGAAGCCAAGATACCCCTGCTCAGGCCCAGGACCCCACAGCTTGTGGGGGTCAAGAGGGGCCCAGTGGCCAAGCTAAAGCCGACAGACGGAGGTTCTAGCCGCCTCTCCTCGCCTCCCGGCCGTGTGACCTTGGGCAAGTCTTCGCCTCTCTGAGCCTCTGTTTCTCATCCGTGAGGCGGGGCTGAGCATGGCTGTAGGATTGCAGTGCCCACTGGCTCCGAGCTGGCACACTGTAGGCCTAGGTGCTCCCCACTGCTCTTGGGGGCGCAGCCAGAGTGAATTTGGGGCCCGGCACCAGCACCACACATCCGAGAGTCACCCCTACTGGCAGCCAGGACCACACCACAGGACACTGTTCTCTGCCCCATCCCCTCCCCTGCCTCCCTCTCCAGGGCCAGGGTCTGGAGGTGTGAGGCCTGGACCTCAGGGCGGCGGTCACGGAGTGTCACTCAGTACCAGACAGGGCTGGGAGGGGCCTGGGGTGAGGGCACCCAGAGTAGAGGTCTCAGGACTGCTGCAGAGGCGGGCTGGGGTGTCCAGGCTGGGTCTGGAAGGGACCAATTAGTCAAATGGCTGCAGTGACCATTTGGAAGCAATTAACAGAGTCCCTTATTACCACATTACACCCCCCACCTGGTTCCGTCCTGCGAGGGGGAGGGTCGCCGTGGTGCGCGCCGCGCCGCGTGTTTGCGCCGCGTGTTTGCGTCAGCCCCGCTCCTCCCTGCGGCGCGCGGTGAACGAGATCCCTGCCTGCCAGAGAGCTGCGCGAAATCAGGTCCCCGGCCCCGCCCGGCTGGGCTTGGTCTCCGAGGGCCTGGCAGCCCGCATGTGTCCAGAGCCAGGCCCAGGCCCTCGGGGTGTCCGGGGGCCTGCCTGGGCCAGGAAAGACGGGTCGGGGAGATCTCGATGAAGAGGAGGGCCTCAGTGGGTGGCCTTCCGGACCGAGGGGCTGTGGGCGGGACTGGGGCAGGCAGGTGGGCGAGTGCCCGCGACACCAGCAGAGGGTGGGGCTGCCACAGCGCCCGGTGCCGGGTAGAAGGCGGCTTTGGGTTTTACGCAGCACCCTCTGACTTCAGCATGGCCCCCGGGGAGAGCAGGAATCCCAGCCCAGGGACCTTTACTGCCTCAGAAGTCACACTGGAAGGGACCTCGAGCCATCAGTGCCCAGCGTCCGGGCGCAACTGTTGAGACTGCCTTATTCCTATCTCAAAGGCATCGCGGTTGGCATAGTAACCACTGTCCCCTACTGACGGGGCCTGCTCTGCACGGGTGGGCGTCGGGGACGTTTGCCGGGGCGATTGTACTGAGTTTTTCTCAGTATATTTGGGGCATTTTATACGTGAGAAGCCAGCACCTCAGAGGAGCAATGCTCCGTGGCCAAGGCCACATGGCAAGGAAGTGGCCAAGCCACTCATTCATTCACTCATCGTTCAAGGAGGCTACTGAGTGCTGGGCACTGTCTGGGAGCCGCGTGGACAAAGCCAGCAGCGCCCCCCACCTCTGCCCTCCTGCCCGCCCCCCGGGGCCCTACCCTGCGGTGGCTCCCCTTCCGAGTCGGAGGGTGAAGGCAGGCGTGGGGCCGGGCACAGGCCGACCCACAGCGGGAAGCAATCGAGGCCGCAAACGCAGTTTCTTCCATGAGATTTTTCCGGCTCTTCCCGAGGGGGCCCGGGGGACGAGGCCGAGGCCCACACCGCAAAGGGGTTCCGAGATCCTGTCCCCCCTGCCCCCAGCAGACCGAGCTCGCTGTCTACTCTTCCTGCAGTTTCCGCTCTCTCCTCCCTCCCCGCCCCCACGAGTCCCTGCTCACTCTCCCTCCGGAGCACGCATCTCTCCTTGTCTCTTCGGACCCCGCCTGAGGAGGTACCTACCTGGACAGAAGAGCCGATGGCATTTTGGGCACTGACAGCACTCACTGTGTCCCTTCTGTGCTCTCACAGGAAGTTCCGGCTACCAGCAGTCCCAGGCCAGGTCCGTGGGTGGAGCCCTGATGGGCAAGTTCCCCTCTTGGCTCTGTCTGTCTCTGGGGGCTGTCCTCTGTCCCAGTAACGCAGGCTCCATTGTTCAGTCTGGGGCTCTAGCAATCGGCGGCCTGGTCTCGAGACTGTTCGTGGTCTCTGACTAGACAAACCTTGGTCAGGAGCCACCTCCCCAGGGACTAAGGCACTGGGCGATGCCCCCGGGATGCCCCCGTGGGGCCCTCAGACACTGAGCATGCTGCGGTGGGCTAATTGAGGACGCAGCAGCCAACACGTGTTAGGCCAGGGTGCTGAGAAGTGTCCCAATGGGGTGTGCTAGCTCCTGCAGCTCAAGGGAGTCCCCTGTGCCCTGCACACCTGCCCCTCCCCTGGGAAGGACCAAAGTTCCAAATCTTGATGGGGGACACCGGCTCACCTGGCTCATCCCGGAGCCCCTGAACTTGGAGCCAGGGCTGCGGCCTAGACCACTAGAACCCACAGGGTCCATGCTGGATCCCTGTCCTGTCACCCTGTCCCACCCCCCTGGGCCACGGGGCCACCTCTCCTGCTTGAGCCTGTGTGTCAGTATCAGAGAACAGGAGAGGTATGTGGGGATGTGGCTTTTTCCGACACTCATCCCCAGCCCCTCTTTACTGGGCCCCCGGGGGAGAGGGACTCCCCGCCCCCCACGCAGTCCACCCGGCTCCCCACCCACCAGGCAGCGGTTTCCACCCCCACCCTCTTGCCACCGGCCTCTTCGCTCTTCTCTGTGGCCACCAGACCAGACTGCCCCGGCTTGTTTTTTCTGGGGATCTCTCCATCACCATTTCTGTTTCTTGGGCTCCATCTCCCTGTCACACTCTCTCCTGCTTTGTCTCCGTGTCTTTAGCCCTCGCTCTCTGGGCCCTGTC